CGGCTTGGTTGAGACGGGAGTGGTGGGGGTGGTTGCAGTGGTAACGGTTTCAGGAGGAGTTAAGTCTGCCTCCCAACCGATCATCAACAGATGCACGAGGAAGTTCACCTCAGGAGTGTTCTGGAAAAAAAAGAGGTTGCAAGTATCTGTTTAAAAAGGAAGCTTAATCGAACCCAAAATCAATTCAATTTTATCCTAGATTCTCAATATACTTTTGCCGTAGTGTTTCAGCTGGAGGTCCGGTGGATAAGCTGAAAAAATAACAACTGGCGAGCCGAATATTAGGACTAAAAGGTACCACGTGCGTCGAGTAAAAATGATGAGATTGAGGGGGAGGGGTATAGAAGGGAAATTTGGGAAGGATTTACTGCCTTTAATAAAGTATCCCTTCCTAATGGCAAAATGGCAAGTGAAGGAAGTAGTTAATGTTTCTGAACCACATTTTTAGTTCTCGAGGTCACGGTGCCGCCTTATGCGGAGAGACACAGTATCCGGCGTAGGCACCAGCGATAAAAATTATGGGAAAGCATAAACTGGCCAAAACATTTGGTCCTCCAATTTGTGACTCCAGCTAACTGTAAACTATCGGACAACGAAACTTTCCCAAGAAAAAAGATATGCACAGGCAACAATAACACGAGGAAGAGCTCCGGTAGCGGAAATGGACAAATAGAGCACAGCAAGACTGCGACTGGCAGTAAACCGTCAAAAAGCATTAAAAGTTTGAAGTGAATAACGTACCCTCGGCAGCTTATCATCATAGAGACCGGACATGACAAGGCGGAGAAGAGACGAGCAGATAGTGTAAACGGTGCAGGGATCACGGCATATCATATGGAGGTCACTGGGGGGCAAAAATAACGGAAATGCCCAAAATCAAATGCTTTTTTGCATACCAAGTTGTGAGTTAGCCAGTTCCATAGCAGTCAGTTCATTACTTTAAATTCGTTTGAAGAGATTCCAATTTTCAATACGATGCACAATATTTAGTGAAATTATTAGCAGTTGAAAGATGTTAGCTTGAAATGGAGAGAAATAGATACTGAGTCAAAAACCTTGCGTGATGTAGAGGATGATAACAAAAGGCTCTTCAGAAACGAGAAGCCCACTTTAAAATGCTTAAACTGTTCACCAAAACCTGTCTCCAAAAGAAAAAACTAGGGGTTTTATGCGCTGGAAGATAACGGATAAGCTGAATACGACTGACGTGAAGGTCAAGAAGCGCGCGCTGGGTGTTGAGTTTAGGAGACCACAATCAGCGAAGGCGGTGTGTAAAAGGTCTAATATATATGGTGCTGAACTGAAAATCAAGCTGAGAAAGGGATGCATGCGAATGACGTTTTGTTGTTAACCCCTCCCAGATATATATCTGAAAAACTTGAAGCCATGCTCAATATGTACATTCAAAGAGGAAATTAGACATGTAGAGAATTTCGGTTAGCTTTAAATAGTAGCCACTGGAGAACAACCCGTCTGGACGTATACTGAGTACTGTAGGTATGTGTAAAACTCACCGTTCATAACTGTTTTCCGGCAGTCCTACCTCACCTATA